TGACCTAGATACGGCTCCCCCAAACTCGCCTTTGTCCCCATCGTGCGTAATCTTCCGCCCCGAAGTCGACACAACGAAACCATCTTCCCTCTCTGCTCGGCCAGAAGGAAGAGAGAGAGGGTACTGGAACCAGTTACTCTCGAACCGATGTTTCTGCAAAAGGTCCATTACAAACTTAACTTACTATATGCCAGCGTCACTCGGGCGGCGTTCGATCGGATTATTAGCAGCGTGCAGGGGGTGGCGAGGTGGTTTGCCAGGTCGCTTCAAGGTTTTTCTGAGCCTCAACCTCCTGCTCGCCCCTGGCCGTTTCGAACTTCGCAGAATCTAGATATCACACCCTAACTTTTCTAAACTTGATTTTGTGGAAACCAGTGAGTCGTGAAAACGTTATTTGAAACAAACTGTGGAGGAATTTGAAAACCGGACTTCGAACTTTGAAAACTTGGACTAGAACGGAATTCAAAATCTTCGAAGTTTTTTTTTTTTTTTTTTTCGAATTTAGCGTTAAAAGAAAATCGAAACCTTCGAACTTTTCGAACTTTATGCAGAAAGAAATTCGAAATCTTCGAATTGTTCGAACTTCATGTCTATAAAAATTCGAAGCGTTCGAAAGTTTTCGAATTTTATTTCTAAAGAATTTCGAAATCTTCGAATTTATCAAACCTGAAGTAAAAAAATATTCAAATCCGAAATTTTAGAAACCGTGAAAGTTTCGAACTTTTCGAATTCGAAACTTCACTGAGATCGAAAGTTGCGAATTTTTCGAATTCGAACCTCGGTGAATACGAAAATATCGAAATTTTTCGAAATCAAACTTCAGTTCGCTTCGCAAATATCGAAACCTTTCGAAATCGAACCTGGGGCGGTTCGCGGCATCCCTAGTCCTCTTACACTTTTTCTTTCAAATTTCATTCTTAGTCTCAGGATTTTGCATCATGTACAAACTAAACTTACTATATGCCAGTGTCACTCGGGCGGCGTTCGATCGCATTACTACCAGCGTGCAAGGGGGTAGAAAGGCAGTTTGCCAGATCACTTCAAGGTTTTTCTGAGCCTCAACCACCTGCCTGCCCCTGGCCGTTTCGAACTGGAGGAGTATCGTTAAAAAGTGCGTTCGCAGGATCACTACTTTGTGATGCACGCTAATGACCACCCCGGGCCGGCGGTCACAATTACTGATTTATTGTCACACGTCACTCTGCACTGGCAAATATTCCAGCACATCCGGGACACTTGTCGTCTCATTTAATTGCCTCTCCAACTTCGCGCGGTCTAAATATCACACACAAACCTATGCCCGATTTTGTGAAAACCAGTGAGGCGTGAAAACGTTATTTGAAACTGAAACTGTGGCGGAACATGAAAACCGAACTTCGAACTTTGCACACTTAGACTTAAAAAAAAAATTGAAAACCTTCTAAGTGTTTTTTTTTTTTTTTTTCAAATTTAGCTCTAAAAGAGAATCGAAACCTTCAAACTTTATGTAGAAAGGAATTTGAAATCTTTGAATTTATCGAACCTTATGTCTTTAATAATTCGAAACGTTTGAATTTTTCGAATTTTAGATCCAAAGAAATTCAAAACATTCGAATCTCTCGATTTCAAATTAGGAAGTTCGAAATCTTCGAATTTATCGAACCTTAAGTAAAACAATATTCGAAATAATGGAACCCAAACTTTTAGAAACCGTGAAAGCTTCGAACTTTTCGAATTCGAAACCCCACAATTTTGGAAAGTTGCGAATTTTTCGAATTCAAACCTCCGTACGGTCGAAAATATTGAAACCTTTCGAATTCGAACATCAGTTCGGTTCGAAAATATAGAAACCTTTCGAATTCGAACCTAGGGTGTTTCGCGGCATCCCCAATTGCAATAGCATCCAAAGGGAGTCCCGTCCTGCCCATTAATGGGCAACACAGGTATTACCGCTACCTCGGTAAAACGTCGAGTCTGCTCAACAGGAGTAACCGTTGCGGTGCCAAGCGCCACGCGAAGCCACGTTTTTGTCTGTTGGCTAGGTGCACCTCATGGTTTTTGCAGTCGTGTCTCGATATGGAGCCAGTTAATATGGACACCCGCTACACCACCTAGAAGACGAGGCCTGTGCAACGACGCCATCGTCGATGGATCCCCGGCCTGTCCCAAATGGCAAACCTGTTCAGGCTCAGCGAGAGTCGCCACAAAACACCAGACGTGTCCATCTTGGCGTCGCCGCATGCTAGTATCGCACTTGCTATGAGACATGCTGGCGGCAATGCTGATGCAAGCTAGGCGATGCTACGTGAATCCAGTAGCAACAACTTCCGGGGGAAAGGCCTTCTCTTCTAGGTGGTGTTGGCTGTGCAAACAAAAATTGTCCAGGACCAATCCGTCCCCGCACAATTCTGCCTCATTCTTAGAGAAACCTGCAGTCCGGACTACGGTTGGCGAGTTTGTGAATAAACTCGGCAAATACATACATTTTTGTCTCGTTGTTACGAATGCAGGCTCTTTTTAAAAACGAACCAGAAGTGCAAAAAAAGTAAAGGAAAGCCCTTGGGTCACAGATTACAGACCCTGACCAGTTTTTCGGACGCCAATTTTTCGAAAACGTCCAATCATTCGGACGTTTTCACCACCCCACAGAGTTAATGTATAACATTGACCGAAATTTCGGACACCATAAAGCTTATTGCTCGATATTACGGACATAATTTGTGTGATTTCCTCAGTTTACAGCCACAAAACAGCCACCGCGACAGCGCCGTGAGCTTAGTCACTGCCATTTCGGCTTTTTTGATTTTGCCTTGTAGCCTCAATACCACGTCCTCCGCAATGAACAAGCCGAGTTGAGGCTATAGTCGAGTTTTCCGGTTCTGCTATAGCCAACAAGGCCACCGTCTGCTTATTCTTATGGCTCTTCCAGCGCTTCTCGTGGTCAGCGTTTTTCGAGTGCAACCGCGAGAAGAGCGGCTGTCTGCTGTTCTTGTAGTCTTTGAGCACGAAGGTTTTTTGTTGATAGGCTTAGTATTGAGGCGAGCTTGGTGGACTAAACGTTGTCTACAAATACACCAACTTCAACTTCGCTGTTTGTGCCAATGAAGGTGCCGACAAAGTGCAGCACTGTGATCAAACAGATGAACAAACAAGTGAAAAGTAAACAATATAAAGTGGAAGTTGCACGAGAACTTAAAATTGACATCAAGCAAGTGGAAAGCGGCCAATACACAGCGGACTATGTTCGAAAATTTGATATTTTGGCTGAAATTGATTTTTCGAACCACTTGATTATTCGGACAATTTCAGGGTCCTTTCCATGTCCGAAAAATCTGTCGGCGACTGTACACTAAGAATATCATAATTGTCCGTAGCTGCTTGCCCTTCCTGAGAGAGAGAGAAACCTCTGCACCGAAGAATAGTTCGATTTTTTAGGGCCCTCCGGTCAAATGGGTCACTTGTCCTTCACTTCCTAGGTGTACCACAGTTGCAGGCGATAAACCTTAAGAATATTCGTAAATCATGTGCACAAAAGTAAAGGCAGGACAGTTCCCTCGTCACTTAAAGGGGCCCTGCAATGACTTTTTACTAATTTTTAATTTGCACTGAACCTGGGCGCACTGAACGTAATAACTTCGTGAAACTTTTCTTTTCTCGAAATTCCCTTTATATTAAAAGTTATAGGCAAATTAAAATTACAAAAACAAGTAAAAAATAATGTTCCTCATGACGTCCTTGGTTGCTTGAGAGTGGCCGCGAACTAGAGGAGAAGTAGTGAGCTCATCGAGCGCTCACGGCTGCCGCACTCCGAGTCGACGGCGCGAGAGGGCGCCATTAAAGCGTGTTGTGGATAGGCTGTATGCAGCGGGCAGCCAGAGCGGCTCTCATTGCATTTGCTGCGCTATTAAATACTAATTCGGCATGACACTTCATTGGCCACAAACGACAGCAAACACGGGGTAAAGATCAGTTCAGAATGGGAGCTACTTTGCACTGCCATACCGCGAAACGGCCAAACCGCAAGACAAAGCTTCTCGCCGAAGGCTTTCGGAACGCTCGGAGCCGGTCGGATCCTCCTGCCCATACGACTGCAGCGCCGCCGCATACATCCGGGACCTTTCCGTGTCGGCACCTGACCCCACTACTCCTTTCTAGTATGCGCCGCCTTTTCCACCACTTGGTGGCGGGTATGTCGACGGGTCATTTCTTGTTTCCGTACTTTATGAACTGCATTCGTTTCTTTTTTGATCTAAAATACTGAACAAAAACTACTTTTATAAATAACTGAAACGGTTTGCACAACTTATATGTTGTATTTTGACTAAAAAGAAGCTTTTAGCGGCTCTGACCAGCAGTAAGCCCAGGACCAAAGACGTCACATTTTGTACACTTTCGGTACCGCGGGTCGCCCTTGTCGGTGGAGGTTTCCGCGTCGTCCGGTTAAAATATGACGCACCGATATTTAGTTACTCTCTCCATGCCCGCTGGCTTGCTCGAACCCCAAGAGACGTGAAAACCGCAAAAAAGGTAGGTGCTTAAATATGATTGCAGGGCCCCTTTAAAAGGAGGCAAGACCGTTTGGCGTAAAAAAAGTGGCCAGAGACCGGTGTTTTTTTGGGGCAATGCTTGTGGTTCACATTATTTGTGATCTTGCCCTCGATTCATTTTTATAGACATTTTTTTTGGGGGGGGGGGGGGGGGGAACGGAGGTGCTCATATTAATAAGACACAATTGTATCGTGCCATATTCCATCACTAATACACAGTAACGAATATGCGAATAAGGATGTCTTACCGTCTTGTGGGTAAACTCAAACAAAAAGGCATACACTTTATGTTTGACTCGGGCACGCAGCCAGGATTTTCTTTTTTAAAGGGGGGGGGGGGGGCGCCCATGACAAAATGCTGTATGAGTGGGAGAAAGTCCCAACAAAATGGAAGATGTTGGGGGGGGGGGGGGGGCAGACCCCCCTCCCCCCCTGGCTACGTGCCTGGTTTGACTGCTACTAAGGTAGACTAACCTGCTGTTCTATTCTGTGTGTGCTCCCGCTGATCTTTGTACTTCAGGAAACGCACCAAGTTTGTCTTGGCTGTCATGACGACGGGGTAGTGTTTTCCTAACGATTTCTTCATTTGGTTGACCTGGAATTAAAAAAAAAAAAATTGCAAATAAAAATTACCTTATTATTCAAATGCAATGTAAAGGACCTTTTATAGAGACAAGGGGAGAATGGGAGGAAAACAATATTTATGGTACATTGTGTAGAGCTCACCAATTGGGCAGATTCCACCAACATAGTGTATTGTTTATTGCGCACAACTCTCAACATTCACCTGAACCAAGACTAGTCTCAGCCAGTTTTGGTCATCACATTTTACAAAATACCACAATCATTTAGGCAAGAACACAAATAATTTTTGAAGTGCAAATTACTTGCGTTCTAGCGATAAAGAAACACCAGACACCACTGCTTTATTTATCTCTTGAATGAGACTAGACATGTGAGGATGGTGTTCAATTAACTTTCCAAAGGATTTATTTAGGGCAGTCAAAAAAGCCACCAAGGAACTGATAAGAGCAACGTTAAACTGTGCAACGAAGATTTTATGTGCCCTTTTCTACTTAACGAACCGGCCGTAAACATACTTCATTGCACTGCTATGAAATAGGGCATGCTCATTTTATATGCAGGCACCATTCGCAAACTTGATACAATTGCGACAAACCTTAGCTCTAAAGGCAGGCAGCACCAGCCTCAACTTGGGTACCAATTCAATTTCTACAGCCGTCTGGTCGGTCGAGTCTTCAGCAAATACGTCAAAGGTGGCATCGAGAGCTTCTGTCACCACTGTAATGTCGGAATCTTTTGAAGCCACTTCGAGCAGATATTGTCCCACTTTCTGCAAATGAAACGGGGGAGGAAGAGCAGCAGTTAGACACAAGGGAATTGAGATGGGCACAGCCTCCTAGCACCACTGAATGTTACCCGAATACTGAATTCCACAGCCTCATCTTGAACTGTACAAACGAGTAAATAAAACTTTCTGATCAGCCCATGTTAACCTTATAATAATGCTAAAAAAAATAATAAAAAAATGTGCACACATGAGCTTGAAACAGTCGGCGAATCTTAGGCGGCTGCGTGTCGGTTTCCGTTTTCGCTAGTGTTCTTCTTTAAAGTAGCCCGTGATCTAAGCCACAAAAGGAAAATACGGGCCAGCTTGCCCACTCCGGTTCGATTGAGTGCACAGGGCTGTCGTCGTGTAGCGATCAATAGACCCTTTGCAAAAATCCCAAAAGCCCGCGCGCGCCGCACAACGAATAATGGGAGTCCTCGGTACAGCCCTCCTCCCGCTACCACGTGACCACGTGGCATATGCGAGCAGGCGCAGGTTACTCCGGCAACAACTTTTGAGCAGCCGAGTCGAGCGAGCGACGAGCCAACGGCTGCCCCTTTCTCATCCCTCTCCTTTGTATACCGGCTCTGTCGTCTGCCGCACCAACGCTTTGTCGAACCTGGTTGAAACCTGCCACGGTTGCGATGCAAAATGAGTGGATTCGGTGACACTTCAATACGTGAAGGTAAGTTACGACGAGTAACGTATTCAAATAAGTTCACCTGTTGCGATGCCAGTGATGTGATTGGTCTAAGCCATTTTGAAGCACCTTTTGGAGCAGCCAAAACAGTGTTTTAGAGCAGGAAATGTGGTGTTTGGAACAACCAAAACAGTGTTCTGGAGCAGCAAAAGTGGCTTTTGGGGCAGCTAAGACAGTGTTTTGGAGCAGCAAAAGTGGTTTTCGGAACAGATATTCTTAGAAAAAAAAAATGTTTTAAGTGCTGCACAAACGAAGGGCATTTTGTGTTGTGCTTGATGTGACATGTTGTGACGGAACTCGCTGGTTGTGTTTTTAGTGCTGAGACATCCCACAAGCGTACAGTGCTGTAGGAGTCGCCGAGCAATTCCGAAAAATCACTTGCCACCGTTTTACTGGTTCCCGAATGCCAGATTTTCGTAAAAAGTAAGCAAACGTAAAACAATCAATTGCAAGCGTCCCGGCTGGTGCCTCTGTCGTACAATCATGTTCGCATGCACGTGAGGGCAAGTTCTGCAGGCTTGCAGTTGCGCGTGCTTCGCCGCACGAGCGGAAACAACGGCTGTTCAATCGAAACCGAAACCATGCCACTCCGCTCCGTCACCGACTGATTTCCAAAATGTATGCAAAATGTAATTGTCGAGCATAAGACAGAAAACAGTCCAGTGGTGCGTGCTTGCCAGGCCGGCAAGCAAAGTACAAGCTAAACATGTACACACACACACGAAAAAGAAACAAAAGAACCATGAGTGCATCGATGGAAGAAATCGCGAGCCAGGGTCAAAAAGTTCTTGAAGCGCTTTGTGCAACGACAGAACTTGAGACAAACAAGCGCGCTGTGCGGGTTCAGTGTGCAGACGTTGCCTTCTTTACTTTAGCTCACTTCTCTTCCCCAACTTTCTTTCGCGGCAGATTTTTCACGTACTGGGGTTCTTTTCGAAAGAAAGCCCACCGAGAGAAACCTTGGTAATCAATACTTCGACACAGGAGTCAATTGGGTTAAAGAGGGATTTTTGTAGTGACCTATGATTTAGAGACAAACAGGAATGTTGATGAACATGCAGCGGTATTTTGTTTCATTTTAGAATGCGCCTTATCTGCAGCGACGTGGGGATGGCAACACCCGATGTCGCGCGACCACAGTGATTGGAAAGCAGGGACCAAATATAGTTTTCCCACAACCATTGTTTTCAGGAGCGAGGGCTTGAGCTAAAAAAAAAACTTCCGCCGCACAGAAACGTGGTTTCGTTTCACAGCATGACGGCATGACTGGTACCCGGCACGCTAGCGTTGGAGCGCCCACACACGCTTGCGTCTATCGTTAAAAATATTTGAAAAAAAAAAAAAAACGACACGAGACGAGACCCACGAGACGACGAGAACGCGAAACCAAGATGGCGGGAAAATCATGCAAGACAGAATGGACAACCGATGGAGGGGACTTTGTGTCGGGCGGCCGCTTGCGCCACATAACACTTGCGTCCTCAATTACGGTACTGATTTTAGTTTCGATTTGAAAGGCGACCAATATTGTTTTTTTGGCACAGGCTTGGCGCAGATTACCCATATTTTGGCAAAATGTAGCAGGATGTAGCAGGGTTAGCCACTTGGAGCAGTTTGGCGCAATTGGCACAGCAATCACATCACTGCGATGCCTTTACGCTGCCACAGATATGCTACGCCGCAAACGTACGACTCAGCAGATGGGCGGGATGGTGGATGGCTGCAATGGATGCTGGCGGTAGCTGCCAAGATGCACGCGCAGTTGCGGAGGCGCAACGAGAAAGCGCGTGATCTGTACCGAGGGTTCCCGAAATTCCCTGCCGTCGTGGCGCTGTACGTTTTGCAACAGGTCTACTGTGTAATCCCAAAACAAAGTTTGGGGGTTTCAGTACTCTGGGAACATTGAATGGCTTTACTGGCTCCCATTCACGGCACTCTAAGCCTTTTCTTGATCAGCCAAGGTTATATCTTCCGATTTATATTCTCGAAAAATTTTTACTTTTGTTTTGAGCGAATTTAGATATAAAACAGTTTAGTAATTGGCAGAGGCTGTACAGGGGAGGGGGGGGGGGGCCATGTCTGCTGCTTCGCTCCACAAAAGTGAAGCCAACACCAACCTTGAGCACGTCGGGTTGGGATCCTCCGAACAGGCACCCCAGTGTTGCCATAATACGGGTGACATTGGTTCTCACTGCTCCGTCTGTACACTGCAAGCCAACCTGAGACAGAACTCTCAGCTCTTCATCCGACATATTGGGCAGAGCAGCCCCGTTAACATTGCCGCTCTCAACGGCCGTAGCTAGAGCTTGAAGCACAGACCGGCAAGCACTTGTGCTTGCCTCCAAAAACTCAAAGTCCTTGGGATCTGAAAGAAATTCAAAAAAGAATTCTTAAAATATCAGAAGGCTCCAGATCCATCACATGTGACTGACTCTAGCATCTTTACAACTTTCCTATAAAAAAGCTCAAATCAAACAAATGCAAAAACACACGCAAGCTGGTAAGGATCAACGAGCATAGTAACCCTGAAATGAGAAACCTGCAAGGGGTACAATGAAACAATCTCAAACACCTAATAAGGTAAACTGGGAGGATAAAGAGCTAAACAAACCAGTTCTGTTAATATTTACTGCAATATCTTTGTGCTTTTATTTCCAGCTTTTCTCACAGTTGGAAGGCTGTCATCAAACCTACTGGTGTGATGAAATGTGTGCATCCTGGGCATTAGCCTAAGTGCTAAAATATGACATTTGTACAAATAGTCATAATAATATAATAATAATAATAGCGTTTATTTAATGTGCCCCAAAACAACCACGCAGGTCTTCCTACTGGTGTGATGAAATGTGTGCATCCTGGGCATTAGCCTAAGTGCTAAAATATGACATTTGTACAAATAGTCGTAATAATATAATAATAATAATAGCGTTTATTTAATGTGCCCCAAAACAACCACGCGGGTCTTTACATTGGTGCACACAAGATAAAAAGAAGAAACACAACACACGCACAGCTTCAAATATACAAATTAGCATGACTACAAATAGGTTGCACACTTCACACAAAATGTAATAGACTTTCAACCTTAAACTAGACTTGCCAAGTTCCGGCAAAAAACTGGGAGATCTGTGAAAATGTCCAAGCTAGAGGATCTGATTCTATTAAATGAAATTTGCATACGGGACAGTGGTGAGAGTTTAGACATAAATTGAATGTAAAAGACAGTGAAACTTTTGGTAACGCGACAAGGAACATGAAAATCGACAGAATTCAGAAGTAGGTTAGCATCAGTCCAACCATTTACCACCCTGTGCAAAAAAATCAGAACACGCTCGAATCTTCTATTTGACAAAGACTTAAGTAAAACACTACTATTAAGAAGAAATTCATAATCATAATAAAAGCGATGCTGAAAGTGTCTATCAAATAAAATGCGTATCATTCTTTTTTGCACTGATTCAATGCTTAACCCTTTGCGGTCAGATACTCCGACCAACTTAATGGTTATTCCGGTCAGGAACTATTTTAGACGCATGGGTCCCGGAAAAGTAAAATTATTTTGGCGTACAAAGGTAACGTCTCACACTGATCATAAGGACAGGAAAGTCCGGGAGATTGTTTGTGCACAAACTCCGGAAAAATGTTTGCGGCGGAGCGGCTCCGCGGCCGCTGTCTTGCGCAGTCGTTTCATATTCATCACTACTTTCACTCAAGTCACAGAGATCGCCTCTCCATCATGTGATGGAGGGATATAGTCGTCCTCTTCACTGAAATCGTTGTCACTTTCAGTTCCATCACGCAGAGAGTTACATAAAACGAGCGTGGCTGGATTGTGGCTATAACTGTCGTGCCAGCGAAGTTGAAATTTGCGCACTCCTCCGTTGCGCAAAAAAACATACAACATGGAACATGTTTTTTTGTTTTTTTTTATGACTAGTCCTGCCCTGTATGAGAAGAAACTCGAACCCTTTCAAGAGTGATGTGATTGAAGTGTTTTCCAAGATATGGCACCACCAATCCAGCAAAAAGAGCGAAGGAGCATGTTTAAAAGGATGTGGGAAAGCGTGTCGGGCGACGCCCGACTCCTGACCGGAAGCATGTTTCTCCGATGTTGGGCCTGGCCCGACATATGACCGCAAAGGGGTAAAGACTTTGTACGTGCTAGAGAATTCCAAACACTGGAACCCCGCGCGTCCCTCATTCACGTCAGAGCGCACGTGACTCGGAAGATGGTGAAAGAGTTGAGAGGTGCCGAAAACCTCAATCTTGGACAATTTTTAAAATAAAAACTAAGGCGTGCAGGCAAATGTGGTTTTTTTGTTCTTTGGTTCAGAAAGGTCGAGACAACAAGTCCCAAATTATTTAAGCAAAGCACTGAAATTGTTGCACAGCTCCTTTAATATTGGCACGACAACTGCTTTCTTCCATAACGAAGGGAACAAACCAGGGCAAAGTGACAAGTTGATAATGTGTTTTAAAATCGGTGAAAACAAGTCACCACAACCTTTGATTATAAAGCTCGGAATACAAATTACTCCAGTAGATAACTTCGGTTTAATGTTTCTGATACCTTCCTCAATTTCATCCGTATCTATTCTAAAGCCCGATAAAACATCCTGGCAGCTTAATTCCATGTCAATAGGCTGAATAGTTGGCTGACCAACTGTGTGGCATTGACTAAAATAGTGTGCAAAACGACCTGCCACCTCTGGTGGGGACGAAAAATACTTAGTGTTTCCAGAAGAACAATCCCGCAGTGAAATTTCATGCCATTGTTACGAGCGTGCTACTTTGCAAACTTCCAGAAAAGTTTGGGGCAGTGGTTCAGACTGCGCTCGACATCATCAAGATGTAACTGTTTATTGCGAGAGTAAAATTTTTTGACAAGAGAACAATAATTACTAAATTGAGTGCACCAGAACTAGAGCCTGTTTTTACAAAAATTCTATGATAATGATCTTTTTTCTTAAGGTACATTTTTAAATCATTGGAAAACCAGTCCGGGCAAACAGAAAGTTGAGAATTGCGTTTTGGAACAAAAATGCTAATTGCGTCTTGCACAACTGACGTAAACGCTTCTGTTGCGAGATTGGTGTCATCTATTGCAAGAAGAGCGCTCCAGTTATAATTATGAAGGTATTTATACATTCCCAAATAATCTCCTTTGGGGTAACAGTAAGCAGAGGGTCTGTTCAATGCTTGCAACTTTCTTGGAAGCCATATTTGAACATTGAGAGGTAGATGATACCCATCCATTTGTACTAGAGGGATCAAAACAGTTCTAATTGATTCAATTTGAATATTTGATAACACTAGGGCAAAAACATTACCAGCGGAGTTTTCGAAACTGTCAAGCTGATTCAGCCCACAAAAATGTATAAAAGATAACAACCCAGCTGCCTTATTTGACGTGATTAAGTCGCCACCGTTTACAAAGTCTAATGACCAATCTATTTCAGGAAGGTTAAGATCCCCGTACATTTGAACTCTGTACCTATCGAATTTTACCTGTTGTTCTAGTGTTTCAAGATGTTCAATAAAACTTGAAGGATCGCACAGCAGTGGAAAATAGTAGTTTCCAATAAGGTAATTAAAGCCATCGGCAGTTTTAATTTCTACCCATAAGAATTCTGAATATGATTCTAGGTCGAACCTTCGATGTGACTCAAGCAAAGAGTGAAGCGTCATTAATACGCCTCTACCTACTTTTTGCCCTGTGCTTATAATGTCTCTGCCGCGGCGGTAGACATTGTAGTTAGGTATAAAGTACTTCGAATTCGGAACGCCATCGCAGAACCAAGTTTCTGATATACAAATAACGTCAAAGTTGGCAGTAATAAGACTAGACATAAACTTGTCAACCTATGTGCGCAGTCCTCGAACATTTTGATAAAAAATGCTATGCATTTCCACCATTTACATCTGATGTCGTTTCGAGGGGATAAGTACGAGCAGGGTTAAGCTGGCCAAGGAACTGGTGGAAAATGTGCCCTCCGGCCAAACTTCCGGTTTGTTAATGGCGTCAAACACGGCCTGGTCACAAGACAAATGAAAGGAAGAATACGAGGGAAATCGAGTTACCATTTTGGAACAGACAATTGACTTCCCGTCTCAGAACGGCTCGACAAGCGCCTGGACATCGGCAACCAATGTATCCGGTCAAAGTCGGGATACAAAAAGTGCCATTCAACGCTGGGGCCTAGCAAAAGCCTGCACAGTGTCTGATTTAGCAGTGCCAGTAGAAGGCTTGGTACGTCGTTGAGGCTTGACATCTGTGAAGCCGTCATTCGTCAAGCTCGCGATCATCCCCACCACGAAAATCTGATGGTGGCGGAAGAAGGGCAGGTTCCACGAGAGTTGTCGAGTTCGAACATGGAAGAGAAGGCCAGTTGTTCGGGTGTGCAAAGGCGGGTGATGCAAACAAAGCCTCGCTTGCCGCTAAAGACACGCGGGATGTCGGGGCGGCAGTAGTAGCATAAAGTTGTGGCGGTGAAGATGGGATTGGGAGACAATCCACTAGGTTCTTGCAAAGTTGCTGCTCTTCGGAGCGAAGCTGTTGGTTTTCAGCTTTGAGGCATTTCAGGGGTGGAACTCATGAAATATACTTGGGAGCAGCCACGGGAGCAGCTGAAACTGCTGTTTTGGAGCAGGTTGGGAGCAGCTAAAACTATGTTCTGGAGCAGGCTAGGAGCAGCTCAAATCAGTTTTCATTGCACTTCAGGCTTGTGTCTTAGACGAGCACGGGAGCAATTTCAATTGCGCTTAGCAGCACAGATGAATATGAGTGGTTAGAAAGCTAGGTAGATGGGATAACAGTGTAACAGATGCGAAAACTTGAAATGTTGTGAGCCTTAATGAGAACCGAAAAGCAAGTACCATATGTTTCTGAAGATAGTGTCCTTGATACTTTCTGAGTGGCTTTCAGCTGCTCAAAATGCAAACCAGCACTGCTTATAGCATAACCCACACGTGCTCAACACAGTAATTATATGTGCGAACCATGTGACGCGCATAAGCAACGGACGTGCAGTTGCGCGGAAGAACAGGGCCATAAATTTCGAGTTTATCCTGTTGTACAATTCAACATCGAAGCAACAGACTACAATTAACGAAGTTATCGTATTCTAAGCGATAAGCAGGAGCAAGGTTAAAGTACGCCGAGCAGATATACCGCTCGCATGAGAGTTGCTGGCCAGCAAGGTTTCGGATCAGACCGCGTTTCAGTTCTATCAAATCACGATTTATCTTGCGGGAATGCGGTTCCAACTTCTAATGATAAAGTACTAAAAGGAATATCTTGCTTCGTTTTCAATTGGCTGACACCCGGATCCCAGGCCGCAGAGCCTCAGGCAATCCGACGTTTAACAACTCGACCTCACCTCGGCCGACTTGCTTAACCGCTTATGGTTGAAGAATAACAATCCAGTCACAGGTGACGCAGCTCTTGGAATCCGACCCCCGAATTTTTTTGCGCGCTTCCGACTCGGGATACACAGGGAAAATAAACAGAACAAAGGAATACAAGGCCTACCAAGCTGAACGTGCTCATTGTTGCCAATCAAGTCGATAAAAACCAAGACCAAGGCAAAATACCATTTTTTTCGCGCATGTTGTGAGATTTGGAGCACAATGGCGTGAGGTATTGGCTGCGGCGCAGTTTCCGCAAAATGGCACAGGATGGCGCAGACAAATGCGTCTGGCGCAAAATGGCGCAAATGGCGCAGCCGTTCCACCCCTGCATTTGAACTTGGCGGTCAGGATATCCATTTTTCTTGTCATACTGTCGATCACACGCAGCAAACTGGCGGGGACGCAGAGGTCATCCTGTGCTGCCGCTGGCCACCCGTGGAGGAAGCATTCATGAAGTTGTCATTTGGCATATCTGGTAGGTCACCCTGGTTTTTTCGTGACTTACTGTGGTTCCGGGTACAACCAGTGCATTTGAAAGTGCTGGTTCCAGATTGCATGAAGATATTGTATTCCTCGAGGCCGATGTTTAAGCAACTGCAGTGGAATTTTCTGTCGCAGCCAGCGGAACAGCCAAGGTATTGCTGCTTTGGGTAGAAACGAGCTGCACATGATCCACATTGATCTTTTTGTGGAGCACTGGCTGACACGTCCTTTGCAATAGCAGCCTCCATAACAAGAAAATTAGCGAAAATTGGAAAAATTCAAACTTACAGGAGGAGCATCAGAAAATGGTTCTTTTTGTTCCAGTCTGTTCGCACTGACTACACCATCCAATCAATAAAGTTTGGTTCAATGGGTAGCAACTCTCGCAACTCTGAGACATGCCACAGCCACAATCACTGGACCCACTCGCAAGCGCGTGCTCTGTGGCCGAACTGTGATGCAGCTCTCCTCTAATCGTTTGGTGCTGTATACTGCCCAAAGTTATCCTCTAGGTAACAGCGCTAGTCAGCCAACAGCAGTGCTGACTAGCAGCCGACCGAGGCACTTTCTATTATTCACTGCCCTGAGGTTATTAGAGGCCCAATATTTCATAAATTTTGCGGAAGGAGGGTTTTGGGAATATTTCAAAGGCATATAATCTTGTGATTTGTGGGGATATGCTATGCATTCTTTACTATGGGCTGATATATTTGCGGGATAAATATTTTTACAATTGTTTTGAAGTTGCAAAAATTAAGTTGTTTACATAGTATGTCACAGTACATCCTCTAGTCCTTCACACGTAGCAGCGCAGCTCAATTGCAATGACTGAATTGTCACAGCATGCTGGCCTAGCTCCAATCGAGCAACTTGTGTAACCTCGTACAGACTGACGCTCACCTGCATCTAAGAATTTCGCTACTATGCACACAACAGTTTACCAAGTAATGATAAACTTACTCATGTTAACAAATGCCATCTGAGCAAGACAAGTCCAAGTGCTGACTAGTCCTGCCGGTCCTCCAAGATCCTGAGGATCCAATGACTGGGCCAAGTTAGCGATGCACAGCAAGGCACGACACCTCACGGCATGAACCCTGTAACAATGGCATGTATGTTGCAAACACAGGCGATGAGTTAACATGCTTTTGATCAGTGTGGATTGTAGGGTCCTTTGAAGACAAACAGAAGTGGACAATCTCACAAATTCCTAGTTTAATTGAATGCCAACATGTCAAAGCAGCAGGCCCCTATGGCATTTTGTACATAAACATTTCGAACAAAGCAGTTTAAGTGTCACAAAGGCTTATGATGCGTTTTTCAGTCAATAGATTAACCTGAGCTATGCAGTATTGTTGCAGCATTAGCTAGAAATAAGGCAAAGTAAAGGTTTTAATGGTTTGAAAAATGGAACACGGCGTGCAACCGACAAGGACACAAACTAAAAGAAGTACAAAGGTCAAGCGCTTGTCCCGTGTACTTCTATTGCTTTGTGCCCTTGTCGTTTGCGAGCTGTGTTCCCTTTTTCAAAATATGCACCAACTAGCTCGCATCGCCACCCTAGTTCCATGGTTTCGGATCACTCAGCTGATATGATGATCTCATGATAAACAATAAATGAAGCAAATTTATTCGTCCAAATTTCTTAAATACAGTAAAGTCACCCACGCCTAGCCCGCCGTAGGGCCGGACAGATTCTCCGAGCGCTGGTGTAGCATAATGCACCCGTCAAAGAGCTCTAAAACACAGTAAACCAGTGTAGCGATTCAGTTTACACACCACAATGTAAGCATGAATTATCACCTTTTTGGCACAGCGGCAGCAAGCTTGTGTTCGAAAAGATTGGTAGAAATCCTGTCGTCAAGGTTGTTCACATGGTCCGTTACCCTAGAAATTATGTTTTGCGCCACAAGGATTTCATGAAAATCACATGAAATGTTCAGTGGAAACTAGAAAAAAAAAACAAAAAAACACTAAGCATTAGTGGTGCTCTCCCATGCGAGTAACTCGTGGCACAATGAGAGTTAAATCGATCATTTCAATGACTTACCACTGCAGGGGCGTCCTCGGCATCCATTTCTCCAGTAAACACCTCAGCACTGTCGTCACTGTCGTCTACCTGATCATCTTCAGCCTCTGAGGGTAAAGATCAAACGCAATACTTAGGACGGACAGCCCAGAGTTGTATGCTGAAACACAGTACCTTCTGAGCAGCACAAGTTGGACAAAATTTCCAAGGCAATTTGCTTTGCCGTCAAGGTGTTTGACACCACAGTGAGGCACTGTTCAAGATCTTGCTCCTGTTGGGAATGTTGCCCGAATTAGGACTGGGGTCGATGGAGAAATATAGGAAAGGCTCATACCTTCTCTTCAACTAAGTGTGTGTCAATGTTTTTCTTCTTCAGAAAGCCCTAGAAAAAATGTTTGAATTTTTAATGTCCACATGTAAAAAAATTGGAACCCAATCGGTAAAAGAAAGTTAGAACAAGTCTGGCATGGCAAGATTCAATGTCTTGCCACACTGCCATGTCCTTTTCTTATCCAACATCAGCCCCGATAAACACCCATTTCTTTCCAAACTGTCTTCAGAATTTCGTGGGATTTAGAGTTGAAAAACAATCACCCAGAGTAACAGCCGGCAATCCTAAAGGGAGCATTTACACAACGTCACAACCCAGTGCGATCCTACTGCGGCCGCCATCGCTGTGCTCTCGCTGTGCATACAGAAGCAAGCAGAGGCACATTTCAACTTCCTGTTTTTGTAGTGTGGCATGTGGTGTCCTCGGAGGTCAGTTTATTTATCTCGTGTTTCTCAGCTGGTGTGTGCCTTCAACCGATAGTCGCTGTGTGTGCTTCAATGTTCATTCACTTGACTGAGTGAGCATGCACAACGATAGCTCTCTACAGACACTTTGCTTCGAGAAACTTTGTAGCGTACTTTGTATACTATGTAGCAAAGAAAAGAAAAGACATTTATAAACTGTATTGGTTCTTAATAACTTTGAACCACACCAAAAAGAAACAAAGTGGGCATGTTAACAGCAGCCGCATTCGGTTTACTTACACCTCCAGCACCCGTGTAGAAATGTGTAGGGCGGTGTACTTCTGGTTGTATCTAAATGCACATACCAGAAGTAGACTGCCCTACACTTTTCTGCACTGGCGCAGGAGGTGTAAGTAAATCGAACGCAGCTAGTTTGATAAATCGCAAAGTTGCTTAGATAAAGTCACTTAGACAAATTATTACATCATGGCACTGCATAACGCACAACAGAAATTTTCTTGCTATTGCTGAAGCAAATTGGTCTAAGCTCTACATCTCATTAAAGTCAATTTGCTCGGTTTCTTCTCAGCAGAGCAAGATCACAAAGTCTGTCCTGGTCCATTTAAGCTAACAAAAAAGTATTCATTTCAACTTGCTGAACGACCTTCCACAGCCAGCAATGGAAACTGATAAGGTTATCAGTACCTGAATGGCAATGCCAAGATTGGGGAAGACGTTCTCATCTCCATATACTGGACAATAAAGCGAAAGAGTTCTTTAGGTCTTGACAATTCCAGGTTAAATTGCTTCGAGAGCAAAAAACTGCAGTCTAAAATCTCTTCACACATATCATGTACATCAACATTGCAGCTTTAGAATTCTCCGAAACTGCAACATTTTGTCTTCAAGTGATCCTTGTCAAGATCATATTACATTTCGTCAAAGTCGGGAGGAAGCCAATCTTGGCATTGGTGTCGTAGGCAAGTGAACCTCTCATCATTTTCTATATGAAGACAGTAGAATGTACATTTCATAGCACTTTCCACTTCCTGCTCGGTCCTTAGGCTGTTATCTTAATTTTTTAAATACCCTACTCTTCGTGGAGACGAAGCCCTTCATTAAGTGACTCGCTCAGCAGCGTTTCTCTTTATCAGAAATAATCTTGGAGCGCTTTCATGTCTAACGCATCATAATAATTTTTTTTTTTTTTATTTTATTTTGCAGTTTAGGAACTTGTAAGTCAGCATCCAGCTTTACAAGAGTCTTGCATCACTGTCATTTCCTGTCTCGCTGGTTTCATTTTCATTTTTCATAATTCATCAATGAACTTTAAGCACTGAGATGTCCATTAAAGGATATTATAGGGTCAGCTGGATTTTGGGGGGGGGGGGGGGGGGGGCTGAAATCTTATAAGACCCCCCCCTCTCACCCCTTGGCTATGCCACTGGAGAGGAGGCTGCAAGAGTGTGCACTTACTCCGATGTGTACACCCACGCAGCCCTTCCTCTTCACTACTGTTTTATCAGCCTCGAGATAGCGCAGCATGTATCCAAGGCCACGCGCTCCGGCGTTCCCGCTCATACTGTTGACGATGATACCCATTTGCAATCATAAATGCTAAGTCTCCATTACGTTCATGTGGCATAGACGGTGCAACCTATCTATTTAGTCACTCAAAATTTTTCAATTTGAGTATCTGCCTCCTTAGACAATAGTAGTGGTAAGCATTAAAAGTGGAAATTAACCCCAGAATGGTATATTGAGGGCTCTATAAAGGGTGCTTCAATTTCGAGTGCATGTATATTGCAAAATTTAGGTGCTATCCCATTGTTTTAATAGCAAAATCTTGAGTTATTAATGTAAAAGGCTGGCCATGAAAATAATGCATGGCCATCTGTGAGAAACTAGCCGCTTCAGAACAAAGTACTTCATGTTCGTCGTCGCGCGGCAGATTTATCAGAGCCGCTCAGCACGACGACTGACTAATAATTTTATATATTTCTTCCGCTGATCAGATATGACGGTCAGAATTATATAAATGTTTACTATTTACAAAATTTATTCCCATTATTTGCTTGTTTTTAAACTCGCTGCAGCACAGCTAACCATGCAAAACACCTGTTGCAAATCACAGCTTTGGCCATACCAACGGTGGTCAAAAAGCAATTCCACTTTTCATGAGGCAAGGCCCCCAAGAACCTGACATGTGTAAACACTACACCATCCTTCCCAAGCTCAATAAACTGCACAATAAAAAAAAAGAAAACAAAAAAAGTAGCTTATCATAGTAGTGTACAACCCTATTGCATGAAAGTAAATCAAACTTGTCATGTTGCAGGTCACTTCAAAGGCACCATTACTAAGAACAAGAGGCATTTGAACATTACAAGACTTCACTCATGTGATTAGAATGTTGCCTGCCTTAAATAAAGTTTTTTCTAATTAACAAACTGACATAATGCATTAATTCCTGGTATGCAAACTCTGCTATGGATAGGTAGTTATTTTTTTTCTTTATCCAGAAAAGGGGGGGTCAAATTAAAGATTGAACAGCCACCGAGGCATTGGTCTTCCGAGATTTCAGATTTAAGGTACCCTACACAATAGACATTAATTAGAGCAAACAGGGTTCTCACCTTGACCTCTGTCACAATGTGTGACAATCTAGTGATGTCCTCAAGGACGGGCAATGACAATGCGCTCACAAGCACAGACACTACCAATGCCGGCGAAGCAGATGTTGCCTCCTGTGTTTCGGAAAGATTTAGAAGGATTCCTTGGAAAGAACAATAAAATACCATTGCAGTCAGAAGTTGTCTGAATAAGCTTGAAAGCAGTCAAACCTTTACCTGATGCTAGAACCTTAAGCAGTATGTGTGCTGGATCATAAGAGGGATCTTGAAAAACACCCTCTAGCCCATTGAGGTTGCCTATGTTTTCGGCCAGCTCTGGATTGTCTTCTGATACAGCATGCAGGCAATGGCCTGCAAATGCACAAGGAATGGAATGTATATTATGAACCTGAAGGGGAATGACAGACATTACCATAAAATTACGAGCAAGCACCCACACAAAATCAGGATATAAAGATGTCACAATTTCATGTGGGTGCTTGCTCGAGTTGGATTCTAAAGAACACCTACATGTGTTTCCCCCAAATAAATTTGAGAAAATATGCTGCCTACCTGAAACCAATTAGAAAACGTGCAAATAGCAGAACCCCTGATGTGCTGTTCTACACATGCATCCTGCAGTGAACACCACTTGTGCATGGTGTACAAGTACAGTATAGGGTCATTCCATGTTAAATATCCCATACGTTGCGCTCGATCACCCCCGATTTTTAAAAGAAAATTCGCGGCTTTTTGGGCAAATGGGCATAAAACTAGGCATCATTCAATAATTTAGTAAAAAGTCGAGCGAAACGTCTGCGGCGTTTGACATGGAATGACCCTATACAGCTTTTGCATGGTACCATACTCTGTCTCACCTAATTTGGCAAACGTTTTCTTTTTCCCCAAAAATTTCCTTGTTCAATAAAGCAACTTATATGCTTATTTTTTTTTTAAATGCAAGTCTGGAACTTAATTGTGGAAGATGTAGGCCGTATCGACATTCACGACAAAGGACAAAAAACTTTGAGAAGCAACTACTGCTTGGTTACAACAAGCCGTAGCTATATTTCACTCCATCAAATAAACTTGCAGCGTGGCATTTGGTTACTCTGCCCTCGATTTTTCATGTTATCCATAGTGATATCAGAAAAGTAACAAAAAAGTAATGGCATTACTTTCAGGAGTTCATGTAACTGTAACAAATATATAATTTTTTTTTTTCAAAGTAACACATCCTAAACTAATAAAATTGCTGGATATAGACCTTTCCAGCGCTTAATCACTCGGGCAAAAAATGCCAAGTCAGTGGGCAGTGTGGAAGCATGTGCAGCGTCAGATATATCGTGGAAGAGAGCTACTATGCACGCTCAGGACAAGTTCTACAGCCCAGTAGACAAAGATGGCACCGCCCAGAAGGCGATTATTGCAAAGGTCTATAAGTAGGCTATAAATTTCCGGTGTTTATTATAAGGAAAATCTGCAGATGTTTTAGTGTTCATTTATTTTTTTAAATTGTTACATTTCGGCAATTTATTTTGTATGGATGCTAATAACTGATTACTGATGGAAATAGTCGTGAGAAACCAAGAGTTCAAATTTATTGTACAATTGGTATACTCCCTTGTAATGCTTTACTCTCATTCTAATGCGACAGCACTTGCAAACCACTCACAATGAGTCTGAACATGATCCAATGCCTGCATACTCTTCAACATAATTATTTTGAGGACTGCCACGGTGCTCGATTCAGGTAAAGAGTATGCGCCCGACGAACGTCTAAGACGAGAGGGTTTCAACGAAAACAGTCCTCACTTGGAGAAAACATTTCTTGAAATCTGTCTTTCGGTTTTAACAGATTTTGTACTTTTGACACTGACGGATGTTTATCGGCGTTTTTCAGTTAAAACCGGAAAATCTACGGCCCACATACCATAGAATACCGAGCATCCGCCCATTCCACACTAAGCGCCCATTTCCAAATTTGTAAGATCTGAGAAATATGCACAGCACATTGATATGTAAAATTGATGACCGGACAAGCGCCCATCCCCCATTTTATCGCGATTATCTCTAAATTTTGAGTGGGCGCTTGCCCGGTATTTTACGGTAGTGAAGAAAGTACAACATAAAACCGCCCAAACACAACACTCTCATACAGGCACAGTTTGTGTCGAAAGTCCAAAGCCCAGTGTACGCATGGTCAGAGCGAGATCAGTTTCTTGCGGCGGCGCTGCTATCGTCGGCACTCGATGACTGCGAAGGTTTTGAGAGTGAAGGGGAACTTCACTCTCTCCTTGCCGCACTCACCTCGATGACAAAGGCACTAACCAGCGAGTGCCGACGTTAACAGGGCTGCCGTACAGGACCCCTTTAAAGGGAGGCACCGCATGCTTGGCCCTGGCCAAGCATGCGGCGGGCTCTGAACTTTTGACAAAGATTGTACCACATACTGTAAAATCCCGAAAGATGCCCCACTTCCGAAAGATAACACACACCCCTTTTTGGCACAATTTGCCATTTTTTTCAAAAATACCAAAAGACAGCCGACTGCCAGTAATTGCAGGACCCTGGCCAACGGTGACCTCAGCAGAAATGCTGTTACTCAGCCAAGACTGGGGCTGATAAACGAATATTGCTCACTGGGAAGCGCAAACTTCTTTGGTTAATCTCTCCTCCCAGCAGTCACAAGTTCTGCAGGTCACAGAATCAGAAACTAGCATTTTGCCAACCCTTTTTTTGATTGCACACCAAAAGTTAGCCCACTCCCTATTTTCATCCCATTTTCTTTCGATTTTAGGCGGGCTATATCTCGAGATATTACAGTAAGTTAGTGCCTCCTGTATGCACCTACCACTCCATTAGTAGTTCCTATGGCATCCTTTCCACTGTTCAAAAAATTAAAAAAATTAATGACAGTGTGTTCAAGGTAACTGCGTCATGTTTTATACATAGCCCAATCAATATGGGACCAACAGGACTCACCAACTGCAATGGCAATGTTTGCTCCATACTTGGCGATGTCCAGGCAAGGTAGCAGAACACTCCACAGCCTTTCTTTGTTGAATATAGACACTGAAGTCACACTGCTCTCACTATCAAAAAACAATAAAGAATACACCTTGCATATAAAAATGAACGCTGCATGGAAGAAAGACACAACACAGCTCTTTTCCAATATTGAGAACAAGACCCACCAAAGGTTCCACAGCAAGTGGACGGCTTCACAGAATATTTCTGACTTTGAGTCGATCTTTCCCTTGGTTTCAGCAGGCTGCCAGTCACAGTTGTACTACACAGAAATGTGAAGCACAAATAAACAACTGAAACTATGTAGAAGCCTCCCTGTCACAAGGTTACATAAGGACGTATGTAAGAGATGTAGAATAAACTGTAACGAAAAACATTCACAAAGAGTGATACATATTCTCTGGGTTATATTTAGGGTTCCGCGTTTTCGGTTTCTATTTTTTTCAAAATTCGGCGTACTTTTTTCGGTGTTTATTTTAAAATACAATTTTCGTTTTTTTTCGGCGGATATTTATGCCCACAAAAGTTTATTGGCTTTTTTCGGTGAATATAAAATAAACACCAACGGACACTGGATCAGATGATCCTTGTACGTAGCTCTGATATTTGTGATCACTCAAAGAATGACGGCACAGATACATTGAAAAGGAAATGGACACTTCGTTTGGCAAATGTGTGCAACTGTAAAAGATACAAGAAAAAAACCCATAGAAGTACAAACAAGTCAGATATGAAGCCTATGCCCAAAAAAACATGGAACTTCACCTTCTGTACATCAGGATTACGCGATCTCATAATAGTACACACACATGTACTTGCCAAGGTTCTTCTCCTTAATCCGCACTCTTTCTTTTCTGTTAATATGACCCTGAGCTTCGAGAATGCCCTCTCAACGCTAACACCGGACACTGACAGGCTCAGGAGATGAAGCGCTGCCTGAGCCAACATCCGCCAATCAACCAGTTGTGACCGCCGAAAAAGGCACGGTGCGACGTTTTAAAGCACAACACAACATGCAGAGCTTGCATCACGTCAGTCTTCCTTACAACGAGTTTCAAAGCATGCTCGTACATGGCGAAGTCATGGGGCATATCGGACTTCACGTTCCGATCAATGATGAGCACATTAAACCAAAACGTTGTGATGCCATTCGTGTATCCCATACTTTCGGACACGTTTCGATAGACACTGTCGTTCCACTTTTTTTACCACGGTTCTGTTGTACGACTGGAAGGTCAAAGTGGCCTTTTCCGGTTAAAACTGAATTTTAGAAAATGGACTAGACAAACTTTTATCGGTTTAAATCGAAAATGCCGAACCTTAAACTGACCTTTTTCGGTTAAAACCGAATTTGCAAAAATGAATTCGGCGTACTTTTATCGTTTTTTATTGGTTTAAACCGAAAACTCCGAACCCTAGTTATATTAGCACACTGAATGCAGAGCTACGGGATACTGTAACCAAAAACTAGTAACCTAATCGACCACATTGTGCTATATGCAACGCAGCAGTAGCTGCAGGTATGAGTGTGAGGCTCTACAAAAAGCTTTCTATGTGTGAGCACTCCAGCAAACAAAGCACCCCCATGCATTCATGCATGCTTGGCTTAGGGTAGTGCTGGCAATAGCCACAGCAATTGACAATGGGTCACTGGTCAGACAACCCTGTAGCCAACTCCTGCAGCAGCAATGCTGAAACGTCAGATTACATGTTTGTCATTCCCGAAAAGGAAGCAATTGAGAATGTGCAGAATATTTATGTGGCACTTGTTTGCTTTGGTGCATGTAGCTGGCGAGGCAGATAGTCAAAACCAAAAGCTCAGACGTCAGCAATGGAAATTCAGAGTATAGTATATCATACCCATGTTTCATTGGAAGCAACCTATATTTCTAGCTTGCAGCATCTAAATAAGCAGCAGCAGAGTAAGCAAAATATGAAGTACTGCAACAACTACAACTGGACCCGCCAAACAGCCCGCATCTGCTGGTCCTACGGAATGGAAGCAGCCGCACAGCGTTGCCCAGACTGACATGAACTCAATGTCGATGTTTTAGTGAAAATGTCAGGGAAACAAGATGCTCGTTGGAGAAGGCACGAGAGAGGGGACTAGGCAGTTGGCACCACCCCAAGCAATGTGCATATGAAGTCACCCTCTTGCACAAGTTATGTGCAGTGCATTCAATAGTGCTTCACAAAGTAATGAGAGACTATTGATATATATAATGCAACTGCACATTTTTCACGTTTCGAAGAGGCTGTCAAATACTGCTGATGAAACCGGAAAATACCAAATAAAAAAATACCAGACTGGTCTTTGTAAACAGCCATTACAGAAGCTTTACTTGGGAAGTAACCTAATGTTTGCAGTGGCCATTGAATATGCTTAAAGGGGCACTCAAGGAGATTCTGAGATAGCCTATTTATTTTCATAACTCAATTTATGGGCTCTAAGCGTCCTAAAAAACCCTAAATCACATTCAAAACGGCCGATTTCCCTACTAAAAGTTCAATCAAAGATCGGGCCGCGCCCCTCTTTCGGCGCCGTGGCACAGAACACCAGGGGACACCACCAGACGGGAAGGCAGCAGGGGAGGGCACGCGCCAGCCAATCACGAGTGGCGGCTTCCCAGTAGACTGATTTCTTGAAGGTGCGTGTATTCGAAAATTTAGTCTGCCCAAAACCCGTCACCCGTGATTGGCTGTCGTGTGCCCTACGCTGCTGCCTTCCCGTCCGGTGGTGCCCCCAAGTGTTCTGCACCACAGCGCAGAAAGGGGGGCATGGCACGATATTCGATTGGATTTTTAATAGGGGCATTGGCCGCCCTTGAATGTAATATTGTGTTTTTAGGATGCTTAGAGCTCATAGATTGAGTTGTGACGGTAGATAGACAATCTCAGAACACAATTGAGTGCCCCTTTAAAGGGAGGCTCCGGCAACATTTTGATAATCACAGATTCGCCTCAAAATTGATTTAACACATTAATAGATGCATCTGAACTCATAACCCAGATTACAAGTCCCAATACATTTTTTTTTCTTTTTTTCCCAGTTATTGAATTTTTAAATTTGGTCTGAAAGGCTCAGGGGCCCTACTGGCTACGCTACAAACATGACATGAAATGTAATATGACGGCAGCTCAGCCTGTTCCCAACAGGGCACAAGAAGCTTGATGCAAAACAAATGCTAGGAAAGCTGAAGACAGCAAAACAAACAAAAAGAAAATGTGCAAAATACTGTTTTTTATCTGCTCGACTCGCAAGTTATACACCATCACCACTGGAGAGTGCAGTAATATTTGAATGTAAGTTTTGGCATAACCTTCAATTGCAGGTTTTCCTCAATAGTTATTCTGAATTTAGAGATATTAATAGCATGCCAGGAAGAGTAAAGCCAGGGCATTCTGAAAATGTGCTTAGTTTGGGTAGCTCAAAAACTGCCGGAGCTCCCTTTAACTTTAAAGTGTTAACGCTCCTAGTAGAGAGAGCAACTCTTGAGGCACGTCCATAGGACAGTTGTATTCCTCAAAAGCAACTCTGTGTCACACTATGTTCTGGATTCAGATTAAGACCTGGAGCAAATATATTAGTAATTGTGTTTTACAGACATGTCAGAGAAACTTCTAATGTAAGCTTTACAAGTCATTTAAATCTTATTTTCATACATACCTTTCTCAAACAAAAACAACAAAAAAAATTACCAATTTAACAGCTATAAACTATTCTATGTCATGACTCATTTTTGAGAAGTGCACAAATTTCTATTAAACAGAACAGCAGGGTCAAGACAAAAAGAAAGTTCACATAATTCAAACTGCTGTCCGAATCACAAAGAATTGTCCATTATAACTAACTTATCCTTTTCGCGAATCAAAACAGGATTCCACAGTATTGGTTTAGTTTTTACATTCCCTTCAATTGTTTTTGAGAGGGTTTATGTAGAAACTCAAGACTTGGGCTTAAGGATTCCTTGAGTGCCAGGAGGAGAAATTCAAGAAGTGTCAAATAGTCTTCCTTTACACAGATGACCAGTCATGGGCACGTTACCAGTAAAAAGTAACAGTGTTACAGTTACAGTTACCTAGGGGGAAAAAGTAACTCTGTTACAGTTACCGGTTTCAAAAAAGTAACGTGTTACAGTTACAGTTATTGCAAAAATAGTAACGTCGTTACTTTCTCGTTACAGTACACAAATTGGACACAAAGAATCGCAAACCAAAACAATACTATTCTATTTGTTACACTATAGTGAGAAGAAACGCAAACTGAGATTTTACAAAAATTTAAGACCGACGAGTGTTTCTTTTTTACGTCGTTCGCCATTTCAGCATTTTAATGTGCATAATTTATTTGCAATAATTGTTATAACCTATAATCAGCCGTTTTTCAAAATTGTCATTGACCCGCGTCAGTGAACGTTTTGGTTTATATTTCACTCCGAAACGAATGAGGACAGATATAGTCACATAATTACCTTATGGAATATACTCGGAAGCAGGACTAAACATAGCAGGTCAAACAGCTTCGAAAGAATAAAGGGGAAAAGGAGACAACTAACTTCTGGTGCAATTTACGAGTGTACGATGACCACCGCGGCGTCTATGTCCGAAACGCCAACTGTCGTGTTCACTCGAGCGCCTCCGAAGAGAATGAAACAAGCGCCGGCTTTCTGCACAATATGGGGACGACTTCCTTGAAAACTATTAGGGATGAGGAAACGGCGAACCGCTGGGTATAAAAACGACAGCACAAACATATCCCAGACACAGCCCGAAGGAATACTCGGAGACATCGCACGACCACCGACACCCGCAGATGGTCCCCACAAGAGAAGAGTGAAGTAGGTGACAATTAAGATAGACATTGTTTGCCGCCCCTACCACCGCGGGCGCCGCTTCCTTTATCTCCCGGTTTCGTGCTGACTCGTCCGTCGTCCATTCTCGGTTGTGGGCTAAACCAGGCAATTTTTTGTTTGTTTAACACGTGGCCACGCTCCTTATTCTTATTTATTTATTTTTTTTTTTATCAGCGAGGGGCTTGGAGTAATATAACTTCAAGGTGGAGATTTCTCCATGCCCGTGGCAATGGGTTCTAATTTATATAGTAGAAAAAAGTAACTGTAACGGCCTAAACAGTTACAGTTACCCAACAAAAAAGTAACAGTGCTACAGTTACAAGTTACCAGTATTAAAGAGTAACGCGTTACAGGTCAAAGTTACCGGAAAAAGTAACTAGTTACCGGTAACGCGTTACTAGTAACTGCC